CGTAGCTCAAGGTCTCAAGCTTGCCTTAAACCTTCTCAACAGTAAAGACGTTGACGAGATTTTCAGAGCTCATATCAACATTAAGGTTTTGAGATGGGGAATGATGGCTTCTGCTGTCGGATCTGTCATGGGTTGTCTCTTCTTGATGTTGTCTATGGTCGATGTCATTCAGATCCGTTTAGGGTTGCTCTCTTGTGGCAGCAAATCGGCGGCTCAAGCGGTTGCAACGCTCGTGACTCTGGTTTCCTCTGCTCTGGTGGTTTACATCTCTACTGCCATTTACGCTTTCTGGCATTGAAACTCTGGTTTGAATCAGAATCAAAATGATTTGGAATGATGAGTCTTTCAGGTTCCAAAGTCCATGGCTTTATTTTGATTGGCCAATGTAATCTTTATATCTTTTTGGTTTAAACAGTAACAGTTTCTTTAGATTTCTTTGTTTCTTCTCTTGGAGAATGGATAATGTGCTGACAAGATTAGAAGAACATTGTATTAAAATCATTTGATTTATTTCAGCTGAAGGGTTTGGTGAATGTGTTGGACTCTATTTCTCTTACATTTTGGATAACATTGTTGATGTTAATGGAGAGATGGTTGGAATGTTCTTCCATTTCCTTTAGGGCCATATCAAGCTGCTGTTGCAATGCAGCAGAACGCCTTCTCTCTCGATTCAGCGCTACACTCAGTTCCCGAATCTTTGCGTCTTTCTCGTCCTGAAAATTTCATTTGTACAAGATTTTTCAAGCTCGATTCATGATTTTACAGGAAAACAGACCAAACTTATGTTCTTGGCAAGTCATCGATCCTAGTCAAACGCATTCTACATTGATAAGCTTTATGCGAGTGAACGTACCATTGTTTGAGAGAGCTGAGAACTTCTGCGACCATTAGGCAAGAGAGGATGATTATGTTCTTTCACAGATTTAGTGACGACCCATTTTCCGGATTTCTCTCTTTTCATCACGATCAAAGCCTTACACCCTTCTCTTGTTATAGCCCGAGGTTTCTTGTTCTCGCTTGTCCGAGGTCTCAATCTACGGTTCTACATTTTCGCTTAAAGAGTTCCCTTCCACTACCACAAAAGACACAAACATGTCAATTTAAGACAAAAAAAGATGCAATGTTTTTCGCAAACTTGTAACATGTTTCCATTTCACAACTAATCTCTAATCTGCTACATTCAGTCCTACACTAGACCTAAGAGTTGAGTTGATGAACATTTTCAAAGCTTATCAAATTGCACATTCTCAACAAGTGACTAATGAGAAAAGAAGCCTTAAACTATGCATTTGTGAACCCTAATGAACCTGAGTAGCAATTTCATCGATCTTACACAAATCGTAAAACAGAGATCAATCCATAAAAACGCAAAATTTAGGTCCATGATTTGACACAGAGAAGAAACATATACAAAATAGAGCAAAAACCCACAAAATCATTGCAGCAAACGAACGAGAATTTCGATAAGAGATTGCATTTATATAGAACAAAATGAAGGGGCTTGATAAAATTGAAGCACTCACTTGGATGGAAGATTAGAGAAAACTCCAAAATTGAGATTGTCAGAGAGATGAAGTGATAATATCTGAAACTGAAGTTAAGTGTGTAAGGTCCGAAAGAAAGAGAAGCGGTGAGGAAGACGACAACAAAAAACGATTAAGATCTTGTTCCAGAGTCCGTTGGATTACGAAAAATGAGAAACGTCATGTAGTTTTAGTTTTGTTTCAGAAACGGCGTGTAGTTTATGAGTTAAACATCATGTAGTTTATAAGTTACATAGAGACAAAGACCATTTAACCCCACATAGACGAAATGAAAACTTTTGTTTAATCTGGGTTTAGCATTTGACGTGTGAACGCAAACAAAACGTTAAGACCGTAATTAACAAAGATGTCGCATTTAACAAAAATAAGGGTGTTGTTTAAGTGCACCACACTCAAATGTTACAAAATAAGGCTAGCCAGAGATAATAAGTGATTAGTTAAGTTTAAGTGCACCATACTCAAATGTTACAAAATAAATAAAAGAATTCTCAAACAATTTGAAATCCTCAAAATCAAAACAATTAGCGGATAGTAAAATCCGTGGATTCACATGGTTATGTTTCAAAATCCCAAAAAGCAAATTCATCAACAACATTTTGTGGAAGGAGCAATCAAAACAAAGCTAGCTTCTTGAGATTTTTCTCTGCAAATCCATTTCGTTGTTCTCTTTCGAGGTTTTGCCCTAATCATTCCGAAGAAAAAAACCAATGATTTTGGGTCTCAAACTCGAACCCAAAAAATGGGTTTTTGTTTTTTTGTTTTACAAGTTTGATCCTAAGGCAGCAAATCCACCACCTTTCATCATTTGTTTAAACTCTTTGAAATTCACCATACCATCTCCATCAACATCAACTTTGCTTATCATCTTCTTGCAATCCTCTAGGGTTCTTCCTTGCTTGAGTCCCAAGGAAGCTAACACAGATCTCAGCTCTTCTACCGTTATGAACCCGTCTCGGTTCTGATCAAACACATTGAAAGCTTCTCTCATGTCTTCTTCTTCGTCTCTTTCCTCCATTATCGTCTGGTACAAACCTCCAAACTCTTCGATGTCCACGTATCCATCACCGTTGAGATCAATCTTCTCGATCATCTGCACCAAGTCTTTGTCGGGAATGTAGATTCCAAGATTCTCCAATGAATCATTCAGCTCTTGCTTCGTGATTTTGCCGTCGCCGTTCCTGTCGAACATTTGGAATATCCGGCAAAGCTCTGCCTGATCCATCTTGATATTGATGGAGTTATAAACTTATAATATAGTAGAGAAGCTTTTTGAGAAGAGAATGAATGAGAACAAAAGTATGTAAGAAGAAGATGGGTTTATAGAAAAGTAGAAATTAGGGCAAGAGAAGGGAAGAAAGACTGGTTCTTAAAGAAAAGGAGTGGTTGCCATTTTAGAAAACTTATTACAACTGTGATCGTGGTCTGCACCAGTTTTCTGTTGAACTGGTCCTAAAATAGGTTTATGTCCTTCAAGAATACACACAGCATTAACAACAATAACAAAAACTAAAGTCTATCTATAGTAGGTACACACGGAATGTACACATTTTATCTCGTAATTTCATCTTCAAATAACAGTTATTCCGTCAGGATATTTAGTTATTTCAGGTTCAATCTCTTAAAAACTGATCACAATTTGTGTTAGGATAGAGAAACATAATTGTATTCAAATGCTTACCAGTTTGAAAATGTTTGTTTAATATATTTCTTTAAAAGAAAAAAAATTTATCTATATATAATCGTAATCGATTCTATATTTGTCAATTTGAACATCATGCTTAGGAT